AAAAACGGCTCAGCTTACAGCTGTTTTCATAAATTCTGGAAAATCTGGCAAAAATTGACCGACCGAATATTTGCCGATTCGATAAGCTTTGATTCGGCAGTGATCAACGTTTGATTCGGATGTAATCACATCCGAATCAAAAGTTTATCAAAACTTATCGAATTGGCAAATATTCGGTCGGTCAATTTTTGTCAGATTTATGAAAACAGCTGTAAAGCTTCGGAGCCGGTCGTGGAGCTGCGAGCCGATAGGGTTATATCATATTACTATTAGCCAATAATAAACTCAACTAGAATTGTGACTTTGATGAAACAATTTACTTAATTGCTCGGATAAAGCTTTATCCAAGCATCTTTAAAAGCCTAACGTTTCAATTACATAGAAAATTATCCAAAATTTCTGTAAATTATTTTCTACTTAAAAACTGTCTATAAGTTACATAGAGTAGTACTTAAAGCTTCATCCGTGAAAAGCCTTTCGCAGTATAATTGATGGTTATATGGGGATCGGTCAATTAAAAGGGGGCTTATGGCATTTTTTGCAAAAATGAGTTAGCCATACTATTGTATAAAGCAGGTATTCTTCTATATAATTTGATATTTAAAATATCAATTTACATAATAAAATTTTTGTCAATGCTCACTTTTTTAAATGTTTATATAGAATTATATGTAATCTAAAATTAGAATTTAAAAATCGGGTGTGGCAACTTAGTGAAGTGGTCAAGTTGTCGCATCCCCAAGTAGCAAGACAAGAGTTTGAATCCCACTGGTGACAAAATTTGAATTTTACAGAATGTGTTACAGCAGACTGTGTGTAAACTGATAGATCATTGGATCTGTAAATCTGGTTGTATCAGAGGTTATTGGAAAGCTGTGAAACTGTAGTGTGATGCATAAGTTACATGAAATCTGAGTAAAACAGCTGTGTAAATCCAGATATTGGGGCACATGGAAGCCTGTTTGGCAAGTCCCAAGTAGAAAGGTAGCACAGATCTTTGACAGTATTATGTAAAAGGCTATCTAAGGGATCTGGATACTGATTTCAGTAATCTGGATGAGAACCGATGTTTGGCAAGACACTATATCAACCAGGCCACTAGCTGAGTAACCAGAGAAAAAAGATTTAATTGTGGAGACCAGGAGCAGATCACAGCCCTTCTGGGTTATCTGAATTGGGAATTTAGGTTATTGATGGAACTTAGGTACTGGTAATAGTCTATAAAGTATGTGCTAGGATCTGAGTAAACTTTGCAAAGGCAAGGAGTAGGTAATAGTAGCAGAGAAATACTGCAAGTACTTGGTTTTGGCCTAGACGTAAGTTACTGAAAACCTAGGTGATACATGTTTGTAGGACATGGACTGCTCTAGTAGGTTTACTATAAGGATAAATTAGTCCTAAAGAGTCCTTCTTTGGGAAGAATATCTGATAATGCTAAGTTGATCAGAGGGTTTAATTGGATAACTCAAGTAATAGTGGGCCTGATGCCGAGCCGTTAACCTGCTCGGCTTATCCGTTCGGCTCGCGGCTCGGCTCAAACCGCAATAATCGAAAATTTTTCATCGATTTGTATTACTATTTGAAAGCTTAACGTTAATTGTTATCGTTATCGTTATTAAAATTAGTAAAGTCTTAAATAATAAACGTATGATATACGTACGTACAAATTTGGATACCTGATACATTTTTTTGTTGTCCAGCATTGTAAATACATTACGTGCACCCTTATGTGTTATAATTTGATTGGATGACATTCTCAAACTTTGCTCTAGACAAAAAAAAGATTTGTGATATCTGTTAACCATTATTGTAACTAGAATTCTAATAATGCCCAGGTCACACGACCTTAAAGAGCTCATGCAAACTGTCATGTCATTTTCAGTCGTTATCGTTATTCTATTACTGTGTTATAATCATGGTAACATCACTTGTTCATTAACCAAGTAGATCATGAGCTTAAATTTTTTACTTACTATATATTAGTACAGTACTAGAAATCCTTAACTGTTAATATAAATTCTGATTGATGCATTTTGAGCCGCAATAATAACGGTAATCTGCGGTAACTTGTCCAGTAATCAACGTCATTGAAGTCTAAGATTGATTTAGCAGTATTGTTTCACATGTAAATCTTATGGGCGATTCGATTAATAATTTCTGACATGTATGGGAGAACAATCGAATATTCTTTTTCAATTTATATATTTGATATATATTAAATTTTTGCAGTTCTTTCGTAACTTATAGAAAATACGTAAAACAATGTCAAACTGGATAGCAAAATCAATAGAAGAGGGCCATATCCAATTCATCACTTATGACAATTTTTCTGACGTCAAAGCTATAGCGCGGGGGGCTTTTGGTGAAGTCGCAAAAGCTTTCTGGAATAGTGCCGAAAAATTCGTTGCGCTGAAAACTTTGTATGCTGATCCTGGATCAGCGTCCAAGGATTCTTTTGAAGATCTTATAAATGAGGTAAAGTAATGCTTTAATGTTATTTTGATTCAAACTTCATATTTTAACCTTTCTTATTTAAAGTTTCAATTGATTCGGCACGTTGATTTTCATGACAACGTAGTTCGATTCTTTGGCTTAAGTCAAGGTAAGTTTTATTTTATTTATTTTATTTTTATTATATTATTCTTCTCTTTATGAATTTCATTTTTTTTGGTTTTCTTTATGTATAGATCCTGCGACATTAAGATATATCATGGTATTGCAATATGCTAATGGTGGAAATCTTCGCGAATATTTGCGCGAAAAACATGCCACCCTTGATTGGCCTACAAGAATTAATATGGGAAAGCAAATAGCGAGTGGACTAAAGTGTATTCATGCACAAGGGATTGTGCATCGTGATCTGGTAATAATAATTATTATTATTATCACCACTAATCGTTTACGTCATGAATGTTAGATATTAATCATTACGCTGTGATTTTTTTCATAGCATTCAAAAAATATATTAGTGCACAATGATAAAATGATGATAACTGACTTTGGCTTATCCAAAAGTGGTATATCAAATTCACATTCTGTTGTGGTGGGTATGGCTGGCTACATTGAACCACAATGCTTCAGAAACCCTGACTACAAACGGGACAAAAAATCAGATATATATAGTTTGGGTGTACTGCTTTGGGAAATATCAAGTGGTGTCCCCCCTTTCAATAATCTGTCCATCCTAGATATAGCAGAACAGGTGTCGAAAGGAAAAAGGGAACTGTTTATATCTGGTACGCCAATAGATTACAAGACTCTATACGAAAGGGCGTGGAATGGTGACCCATCACTGCGTCCAGATATTGAAGAGATGAGAGATAAACTTGATACGATTCGGTTGGAGCCTAAATGGTATGAAACATTTACACAACAACAACCATTTCAACAACCTACACAACAACAACCATTTCAACAACCTATACAACAAATGCCAATGCAACCACACGTTAACCAATATCCTTCGAATCCAAATGTAATAGGTATAATTAACTTCAATAATTATTACTCTCAAATTATAATACGAGCCTTGGTGAAAATTGCTTTATCAACTCCTGACTCAAATAAATTACAATTTGTAGGACCTACACCTTACGGTCCTGGTAATACTCCCATACAGAATGTTAATAACCGCCCTAATCAAGGCATTATTCAAGGTGGTGGTTATCAAGTTCCGAATCAAGGTAGTGGCTACCCGACCTATAATCAAGGTGGTGGTTACCCATATAGAAATCCGGTTAATCCTCCAGTTCAGAGACCAGGTGGCTTCTCTGTTCAAAATCTGGGCGGCCGTCCAATTCAGAATCCGAGTGGTTACCAGAATTATAATCAAGGTAGTGGTTATCCAAATTTGAATCAAGGCGGCGGTTACCCTAATCCAGGTCAAGGTGGTTACCCAAATCCAGGTCAAGGTGGTTACCCAAATCCAAGTCAAGGTGGTTACCCAAATCCAAATCCAAATCCAGGTAGCGGCCATCCAAATCAAAGTGCTGTATACCCCAGTTATCCAATTCAGAATCAGGCTGGCCGCCCAATTCAGAATCCAAGCGGAAGTTACTCAACTCAGAATCCTCAAGTGCCTTATCCCCGTCCACAACAATCTAATTATTCATCGAACCAACAACCGATACAGACGCCAACTCAACAACCGATGGATAGCATGCATCCACACATGCCCCCACAAACTTATAACCCTCCGCGCCCTGATCAGCCCCCACAACCTTATAACCCTCCACGCCCTGATCAGCCCCCACAACCTTATAACCCTCCGCGCCCTGATCAGCCCCCACAAACTTATCCCCCTCCGCGCCCTAGTCAGCCCCCACAACCTTATAGCCATCCACGCCCTGTTCAGCCCCCACAACCTTATAACCCTCCGCGCCCTGATCAGCCCCCACAACCTTATAACCCTCCACGCCCTGATCAGTCCAAAACTGGATATGGTTTTGGAATTCCACCGTCTCAGCCGATTCCTCCACAATATTTTGATCCGAGAAATGCGCAATTCCAACGCCCAATTCAACAATTTCCTATGCACCCAAATCCAAATGTACATCCAAATTCACCAAATCAAAATATACGTATGTATGCAATGATATTATAGTGTATAATCAATTATTTCTATTAATTATTTATATATTAATTGACGAATCATTTTATTGTTCATAGATTCACAATCAACTCAACAAACAATTCAACAACAAGCTTCTAACGTAAGCAATGCTATGTTTGTTAAATACTGTTTTTCATGTGTTCGATATTAAGATTTATAATATCTTCAATTTCATCATTCTTTCATTCAGAAATATTCATCTAGGCGTCCATGTACGGAAATTCTTGCAAAGCACGCTGATGAACACCATTCAACATATTCTGGTCCAGAGAGTTGTAATGCTGGTTATCATGTAGGCTATGGTGACGTAGTTGGGCTACAATTTCACCTAGATAATGATAGCATTCCCGTTAACTCTGATAATTACGAATTCGCACTTCGTCAAGAGTCTTTGGTGCTAATAGCATGCGCGCATTGTTCAGGAAGAAAATTAATATCGATGTTAAACTGTCTAAAGGATTATAAGGCAGATTTTTCAAAACTTAGCGATAAAACAAAGAAATCAGCATTACATCGGTTATTTGATAATCCGGCATTACGCAAGGACATGTCAGAGAAAAGTGGCGGTGTGAGAAAATATGTTGAATACGTCAAAGATGCCATAAAGATATTAACTGATTATAAAGATGACAATATACAAAAAAATTGTGACATTAATGCCAAAGATCATGAAGGGAAAACCATATTAGTATATTATATGACCGATCAATTTAGTGCTATAAAGCCTGAAGAAAAAAAAGAAATAGTCTCTTTACTACTCGACCGTGGTGCTGATCCAAACCTTGGGTGCACTATCAAGAGTATATTTTATACATTTGAAGCACCAACCGCATTATTTATGGCTATACATTACGATTGGCCAATAGATATACTCGCTCAAATATACAAAAAGGGATGTGATGCTAGCAAAAAGGATGGTAAACAACGAAATGTGTTGAGTTTAGCAGCAGCTGAAAGAAAACCTGATTACATGAATTGGTTACTAGAGAATTGTGCGGATTTAAGCAAATCAGAAAGCTTGAAAATGGCATTAAAACATTCTGGAGGTGTCTTTTCTAAGGAGTCTATTATATTGAGATTTTTTAGCGAAGGAAAACGAAAACTAGTCAATCAGCAAGAATTGCACGATAAAAAGGTTTCTTCTACAAACTCAAAGTAGGCTATATATATATGTGTTTTTTTTGTTTTATGGTATGCCTTCTTCTTTTTTAGAAATTATTTATTCTACTTGTGAAAATGATATTTTTATATTAACCCACCGCAATTTTATTTTATTTAGCTAGTTATGTATTATTTGTAAATTATCTTTGTAATTGTTTTCAAAAGGACTATTCTTGTGATTAAAAAAATGCATTTATTATTCATTTATATTATATTAAAGTTACATTTAATTAGCATATTTAATATACGTACATATCTATGTATAATATGGAACGTTCAATTTAAAATTTAAGACGTAATAAATTAATATTAACATTTAACATGTTATAAAAGATTAATTTTTTAATCACATGTGTATTTTTTTAAAAAATAATTTTATACATTTCGGTCTGTAATGTGTATTAAGTGGGAATTTACTGATTACTGTGATTAGAATCACACACATGGAAATCTAGAATTTTTAAAATGCAAATCATGATTGTCTAAAAAATTATGTTAGTCTATTAGTAATCCTATTTGGTCAACCAATAGGAATATCTAATATAATAATAGATATTGTGCTGTATTCAACGGGGAACCTCTGGAAATATTATTTTCGGTAGCAATTTGCAAGAATTTAAGCATTACTGATCTTAATGGGTAAAAAAAAATATATATTTGAGTAATGTTCTCGATAAGGTTCTAAAACAACTCTAATTTTAATTTTTTTCATATATTTTGTTATAATAGTATCCCTTAATTTGTAGGCTGAAAAATTATTATTAATATACTTATGATTTTTTTTTTTAAATTTTAAAATATTTAAATACAGTGGCCTACCATATAAGTGTGGACACTTTTTGGATCGTGATTGCTCAAGAACGGGTAAGTATGCGCAGCA